ACAGGGTACGCTGTTGTATATTTTCTAGCTCTGGAGCAAAGAAGCTGAGCAAGATAAGATATGAATTGCGCCTATATAGTATTTGTCTTGGCCCAAATCTATTTGGCTATTACACGCACGGTACTAGAAATACGCCTTGTATCTTCTATGCAGCAGGCTTGAAACCGACGAATGCGCGTCTGTGCACCTGGTCTTCGGGGTCTCCTTGTCGCTTAAACATAATTTGCGGCCTAGTCAATAGCCAATATGCGTCTCACGTTAGAGCGACGAAGTAAGCCAAGATTCGCCACTTTTCTTGCCTGACACCTGTTCAAATGACCTCTGCACAAATGCTACAGGCTGGAGTTTGTTTCCCCAGAGCTGGCACGGGTTTCCGACGTGGACAAGACCATCGAGCAAGCCCGTGAGGACATCGTCCGCTTACAAGAACGCATACGCACGCTCCAAACTTACAGAAACACGACCTGACGATATTTTGCTGCACATTTTCCGCCTAGCCAAGGGAGTCCACAGCCTGAAACACCGTTGGATTGCCCTTACCCACGTGTGCAGGCGATGGCGCGATGCTGCGCTGGGATGTCCGACGCTCTGGACTCGTACTGACTGCTATGGCGCAGGTGCATTTCTGTCCCGGACTGAGCGCTTTCATGCCTTCCTCGAGCGGTCGCAGGCCTGCCCCATCGATATCCATGACACTTGTGCAGCGAGCATGCTGAAAGTAGGCCCCTGTCTGCTAGAACACCGTCACCGCTGGCGCGAGGCGGGCGATATCCAAATAGACAAGCAGTTTCTAGTACTCCTGCGGCGACAGATCTTTCCTCGCTTGCAATGCCATTGCTGGAGTCGGTGGGCATTCGCTTCATGATCAGCGAAGCCCATGTCGACATAGACATTATCAAGGACCCGTATCTCCCGACACTCCGGGGTCTCAGCAGCAACTGTTCTCCCTGGCCTGTTGTGAAAGGTTGGTTGAAGCCTACTCTGGTCGACCTGAAGATTCGCCCATATTACTCATCCTTTGCGCCTCCCGTCACCGAGTGGGTCGAGATCTTGCGTTCTTTGCCATCACTGAAGTCTCTGTCTCTGTCGCGAGTGCTAGGGCCAGTGGAAATGGACAGCGATGTTTATCGACGTGAGCCGGACCGGCTGGCCTGTCTTCCATGCCTGCAGGAACTGCGGCTCGATGTCACGGAAGTGGAAGAGTTGGACGCGTGCGCGTACCTCGTGCATCACATCGAAGCGCCATGGCAGACGAAGACGACGATAACAAGTGAGGTTACCGAAGACCACGTCTCAAACGGCAGCACCCTGCCTCACCATAAATTTCTCTTCTCTACCCTCGCACTGTGGGCCACGAATGCGCTGTAGGCCGCTGCAGGACCATAGCAGCCCCCGCGTCACATCGAGACCCGCATCTGGTGGGTCGCCGGCGAACTGCACATGGACGTGCTCGACCGCGCGTCCAGCTCCAGCTGCAAGCTCCTCGGTGCGTGCGTCTCCATTCCAGAGCGCGAAAACCTACGACCTGCGGTCGAGGACCTCGTCGCGCACATGTTCGCAGTGTGCCCCTCGCTGTGCGGCGCGACGGAACTGGTGTTCGAGAACGTCGGCACGACGCGCGAGGTG